AACGATTCTGCAGACTCGAAGACAGCCAACTAAAAACAATCCGTGTTTCCTACATATAGTCCTCGCAAAGAGCTTCCCCCACTTTCACCCACTTTATCATCATTGCTAGGTATCTACTTTAAATATTATTACTTCAACTTAAATCTTGCTTGTAGCATAAACAGGTTGACGTGTATATGCCTAAAGCAGAGACCTATTTACTGATAGGGGGGAGGGGCAGATCAGGAAGATTTATTTCCTCCCTTGATCCTTTTTCAGTATTTATACGGCTACCTTTTTTTAAATTCTAAGCGGAACGAGGAATGTATTAGTTTTACAATGACGTTTATCTTTTATTTTTTTATCTGCTAACAACTTTTTACCAGAAATTTTGCACCGATTGTCAAGTGTAATTCTTTTTCTGATAGGAAATCTGAATGAAGTGACACTTTATGGAGGTAGTTTTTTGATTTTCCTAGTAGATTTCAACCATAGTTATATAATACGAGAGAAGTTAAAATAGTACCTAAATAGTAAATGAAGTAAATAATTACTTGCCTAAACTTATCGATAGATATTTATTTTTAATGGTACTTTTAGAGCAAATTGAATTATAAATTACTTACAAAAATAAATAAGTTAAAAATTGGACAACTCTTTTAATTTTTAGCTTGGGTACACGTTAAACGTTATACACAGTTTTTGAATTTAATATATTTTTCCTTAGCTAAACTCTAAATACGCCACTTGTCTAGAGTGTAATTTTATTCAAATTTTAGATTCCGAGCGAAACGATAAACGTTTGATGTCTGTGATCACTTTATTCGGAATATTGTTCTTGATTATCAACAGTTATTCTGAAGAATTAAAAAAAAAATAAACTCATAACAATTATCAAAAGTAACATAGTTTCAAACAAAACCTTTTACACTATGATATTTGACATTTTTAACATAGTCAGACAGAAGGGCTCATATTTGAATTTTTAATCGCTGAGTTTAACGTGCTTTTGTTTGCAACGATTTTTCGTCTTTGCGTTCAGTATTCAAATAAATTTACACTAGTCAATTGTATATTCCAAACTTTCATCCAACAACAGTAGCCCGTACCCCTGTAACGTGGAAAAAAATTGTAATCAGACATGGAACCAAAATGGTGTTTCAGTCGTTTGTGAGTAAATTATGAGGAAATAGGAATTTAAACTAACCTAACCTAACCTAACCCAGGATATTCGAGTTTCTGTATAGTACATTTATAGTGATGAGAGAATAAAAATACCTGGTGTATATAATTTATGTGAAGCACATTCAGGGACCGTTTGTGAAAACTCACAAGGAGATCAGCATTGTGTGTTTTATAAGAGACGAAAAAGAGGCAGCTTCGATAATAAGGTGAACAATTTTGTTTTTATACCATTTGTATATTCTATTTTATTTTTTCAGAATAGCGTCCGTAACTTATTGCAATAGTATGATTACAGTATACACTTTTTTTAAATTTTTTTTTTTAAATAATTTAATAATACACTGCATTACACGTTCAATAATAATCACAGTTTTTTGGTATAGTTACTTTTACGTATCGTTAATAAATATGTCACATTCCATTTAGGTCTCGAGTTCGGTTCTTTTACTCATTAAAATATCTACGTGACTGATTTAACAGTATCACAGCTCCGTATTGCCGTTCCGTAAATGTCACGCGGTTCGCCAATTACTCTAAAATAATTAAATAGTTCGCGCAAGAAACTATCGCGCAAGAATTCATAGGTACCCAAGTGTGTGCGTCAAACAGTTATTCATTTAAATTTGGATTCCTTAACTACACCCAAAACAAATAATGTTAAAAATCTTACAGGGTACATAAACTGATTGGCGAGTAACTTTACAGCTCAAACCTGTGTCGCGCCGTTAAAATTTATTATATAAATGAGAAATAATTAATAAACGCGACCTCTAATAATAGACACCCCCTAATGTATAAAATAGTTCTCAGTAAACTACTATTTAGTTTAAAGGTTTTCTACATTTTAAAGATCACGTAAAAAAAATTTGCCGATGAAATATTTTAACATTATTTGATTATTAACGGACTATATTAGATAAATCGCTATAAATTCAATAAGGGCAAATATTAAAATTTAATATCTGCCCTTATTGCATTTAATTATGCATACAATTTTTCAAGAAACATAAAATAGGTACTCTCAAAGCACTTAGTTGTTAGATTTGTATAATGTTTTATAAAATAATTTAAGAAACTTATTTTTAACATCAAATTCTAAGTATAAGATTAATTATTGAAATCATGATTTTTGTTTTTCACAGGTAATGAGTATTTTTTTTCTTTCTAGAAAAATGTATAAATTCTAACGCGCGTCCTTATGCATTTAGCGATTCTTAGAATTTGAATAACATCAAATATATAATTTTCGAGACTGAAAATTGTGTACGGGAAATTAAAATAAATTCTAAATTTCAAGTATTCGATGCCGTTACAGTCACATTTTCAACGGCTAAAAGAAATTCTATACAATTTAACTTAATTATATATTTTGACGTGTAATAACTGTGTAAACAAATTTTATTCTAGTTTCTCAAATTATAAAATTTAAATTATATCAAATTCAATTCGTTAAAAAACAAAAACAATTGCGTATCAAAATCATCAAAAAACACATTGTTGGTGTTGGTGTTGTGTATTAATCTTTCGCAAGTTTTCGTGCGTAATTAAACTGATAATAATAAAAGTATACATATGTATAATATATTATAGTCGTTATGACAACAAAATAATTAATATAGATTTTGTTAAAGTACTTCAAGCATGTGTGGCAGTGTCGTAAATTTCACCGGTTTCCGGTTATAGTTTGTCCCGATTCCCAAGAAAAGTATCGAGAAATTCTGCCACATTCGTTTAATAATTCTCCGTTTATAAAGTTGATATATGCAACTTTCGGAATGGTTTTTTTTTTTATTTCCCCGGTTATAAAACGGTTTAGGTACACGATTCATAATATGATATACGTATTATGTTTATAAAAAATATTTTATTGTAACATGTGTAACATAAAAAAAGATAGACATAATTCGCACGATGGGTGGGCAACTGTTGTAGGTGACAAGTTCAGAAGGTAGAGTATAGAGAGAAATTTAATGTATGTACATCTGTATGCAACGATTAATATTATTGCTAACGAAAAACGATTCTGAGCGGAGTTCGAATATACATGTTTTAAAATTCTTATAAAAAAAAATGACGGGCATACTTCGCACGTGGGTGCAGCGAATGTTGTAGGTTGGAATTTGGGAAGGTATTGGCTACAGGAATTTAATGTATATCTGTAAGCAACGATAAACCACTACTAACGAAAAAACGATTCTGAACCGATTCCAGTTGATAATATTGCTTTGTCAATAATGCAATAATGGTATTATGATAAATTATGGTCAAATGATTAAAATAATATGCGTTTCCATGACAACAATGATTGTTTAAAAAATATTAAAATAATAAAAATTAAATAATAACAATAAATAAACAAAAACGGTTGCCAATGACAACCCTATTTTTAATCTTTCAATCTTTTTTAACCTAAAGACCGAGGTTTTCCTCGTTATTTCGAATATTAATGAGAATTTTAAAAAAAATGACCTCTCTAAAGTACCACTCAGAGAACATTTCCTTTCAAAAAATGTGGTATACTTTATAATCGTAGTTTAATTAGTTTAATATAAACACCATTGTAAAACCAATACGTTCCTCGTTCTGCTAAAAACAAAACAAAAATCCTATATCCACTACTGGTATTGAGCCACGAGCTAACAGGAGCCAAGAGATGTCGACGTTGTTGGCCAAACAACAAAGATTTGGATAACCTAGTTCATCAGCTTTGGAAAGAAACAGTGTAAGTGAAAAAAAAAAAAAAAAAAAACAAAAAAAATGTTACACTAATGTAAACGTGTTTTTTTCTCCCTATATTGGTCGTCGGTTCGTAAATTTCCGCGCGTCAATAATTATCCGTTGTAAATTCTGAATGTTTTGTAAACGGACCCACGCCCGTCGGTTACAATAAATAAAATGAAAAAAAAAAATAAATAAATATCGACGATCGTGATTATTGCGTATGTAAACTAAATGGACTTTGAACCGAACGCGCTATTTGATCGTACGGAAGTGAAACATTATCGTTTTGTCGTACGGCCGTTTTATACGGTAAATTTTAATATAAATTCTTCGCGAATACGGTTGGCGCTGCACGGGAAGGTGAACAATGAAAACCATATTACGCGGTGTTGTTCGCCTAAAAATCGCCGTGTATTTCTCCGGAGGACATCCGAAACGGGCGTATAGGTGTGTATATATATACACGCACGACGGCCGACCGCGTTCGCACGCCAAGACTGCCCGGCCGGCAACGGACATCGTCGGTATTCACTCTAAAGGGCGGTGCATACCGTTTGCTTCTAACGGACATCCACGCCGATCGTTTTTATCGCGCGGGTCGAGTCGGCCCCGCCGGACGTTTATTACAGCGCGCTCGGACGAGACCGGGCGGGATCGTGCGATTCGATTTACGCCCGCGAAAAGAATTTCGATATATACGGCCGCACTTCTTTCCGCCACCGAAACCGTCGTCGCAATGTACCGATAATGTGTTATTTCGATTGCCGTCGAAAACCCATTCGTTCAGGCGCGTTTTCCGATCCATCCCGCGGGGTACGGAACACAACAACCGTGTAAGAGCGCCGCCGGGCGAATAATATCGGGTGTGCTCTAGAGGCCGCTTTATGTAGTGGGTTCGGATAAGTGTCGTTTCAAACGAGAAAATGTATATCCGCGTTCTTATTTCCATCATGTTATATTAACTTTTGTTTAGTATCTGCCAACACATTTTTTTTTTTTTTTTTTTTAATCTGAAAAAGGGTTGAATACTGTATACGAAATTTTAATTTAAAAAAATAGGCTGCCATTTAAAAGAATAGATAAGTACTAAAAAAAAATTTTAAAAAAAGGACAGAGGAACAGGCGATATATTTCTCTGATCTCCCCCTTAAATACGCCGTTATAGGACCTCTCGTCGCGCAGTCCGAATTTAATTTCTCGTTCAATCGATGATCGCGATTTAGGTCTCAACAAGGCTCGGAGGATGCGTACACGCAACCGCCGTCAATGTTTAGTACGATGGAAACTTATAAATATATTATGGTCTCTCGAGTCGTGCGTATATACACAAATTCCGACTTTATTACTATTTTTGTTTTTTTTTTTTTTCGTACACAAGACTCACTTAAACATAAAAGTTTCTTCGTAAAAGTTTCGTCCGATCGGTGAATGGTATTTTAAAAACGCGGGCTGCACAATGTATAGACAATATTACGACGACTATAATACGGTTTGATTTTAACAACCGCGCGAGTACGACACAATATAGTAACGCGTATTGCTGTATAACTTGTTTCATAACGGCGATATAATATTTTCATTCGTGTAAATTTAATTTCGATTTCCGTTCGTTTATCGCACGCGCGCGTATACGTAATACACGTGTTATAGTGATACACGCGTGTAAGCAATAGATTTAGATATGTTATGTGCATACGACTACTGCAGGATGGTCGACTCGTTGTTATCAATGGGCTTTCCGCCATTTGCAGCGGGTGGGGCAGGGATATATTTACATTACACTGTTTTGTTTGATAACGCGACCGATGTATAGGTACGCCCGAAATACGAAATACAAAGTGGATATCGATTTCAGAACCGTATGAAACGGACAAGTAAATAGTTATTTATTCGTTTGATTTTCTAGAGGGTGAAAAAAAAATTTAATTTTTCTTTGTACATCTAAAACAAAATCCGATTGGGAAGAACATTTTCAAAACAATTTAATATTCACAGACATACAGAATCCGGTCAAACCTGTTTGTTAATGTTAAACTTATTATCGCATTCTCTTCTTTTCTTTTACAGTCGAAATTTAAATTGTGTAGGTATATTATATATTGTCAGCGATAAAAATCATGATTAAAAGCCTAAAACCGACGAAAATTATAAGCCGAAACATTTATAAAAGAAGGAGAATAGAGTTAATTTCAAAATAGAAAACATAATACAGTTATTTGGTACAGCAGTCTGTACGCATTTTACAGTCAAATATCATTTATCATTTTATGCAAGCGGTCTTGAGGGTAATATGATCGGGTTTAATAATAGTTGTTTACAGTAAAATTATGTATTACTTTTATTTGACATGATTCGCCATCGTGGTCGCGACATGATATACTTTAACAAATAATGCTGTACTTTTAAATAATCCAAAATGCTGAAAAAAATAACTATGGACCAATTAATTTCAAGTTGTATTTAAAAAAAAAAAAAAACCTTTTTTTTATAGATTGTGAAAGTTGTACTTAATAGTTCTTATTAGATAGCAAACGGGACACGATTATAGTCAAACACTCATATATATATTATTATTTTTATAATATCTGAATTTCTAAAATAAAAGCGGATTTGTAGGTCCGGCCGAAAGTTTGTATAGAAAATTAACTGAAAAGATCCCCCGCAATTCAACCGATAGTTTTTGGAAACTTAATACGGTACAAATCGTGTAATATTATACGTCGTTGTACTCATACATTCACGTTAAATTACTCTGTATTGCGATAATGTGAAAATATTGAAAAAACCCTCAAAAAGTTGATTCATGATTTTATTCGACTGACCACCAACGGCATAAATGAACGACCCAAATATAATTTGCCAATCAATAGAACAATTTTATTATGATATAATATTATTTATACTTTTGTTTCTGCCGTCTAAATTTTTTTAATCATACGTACGGGTTAAAGCATAAAACGATTTCGCGTGCAAAATATTATTTGTCGTCTACATTCTGAAAAAAAAAAAAAAATCAAAAATCATCGACATGCATATATATTAATGATAATAACTATTCTTCTAATTCGAATGAATTTATTCCGTACGCTTATAATTAAATCTAGTAAATACGTAATTTGTATAATATTATATCCACAGTGTTTCCGTTTAAGCGGTCAAAACTCCCTACCCCCTCCTCGCATAAAGTTAATCGTCCGTTATGAACAGCTTTTGTCCCCCTTCTCGCCGCGCCCGACCGACGACTATATACTGTTCTTACTATATATTTTTTACTCTTCTACTTTTATATTCTTTCTATAAGTACAACCGGATCTGAATTCCAAATTAGTTTTAAAACTATACTTACGCTTTAGCCTCTCCACTACAACGACTGCGGAATGTAAAGTATATAATATATATATGTACATAGGACAGGAGTACAGCGAAATATTGGGTTTCTTCATATTGCTATTTTCTTTAATACGCGTACAATATATGCATGTCTCGACCGAGCATATCCGTACAGGGTCGTTCAAATTTCACGATACAGTCAAATTGTCCATGAAATACTTATTATTTAAAAAAAAAAAATTATGTAAAAACTTTTTGTAATCATACGTTCATGGCGATCTATATTAGAATCTCCATAAACAGATTGAGTTTAAATGCATTTTGGTGTTAACACTTTTGATTTCCGTCAGCCCGTTGACGAGATATTCCAATTTACTAAGTTTGAGTAAGGGGAGCGTAACAGAGTATTGTTGAAATGCCACGAAAAAAAATATTTTATTTAACGAAATCGTTATCACCGTAAATCCACTTTTCCCAGTTATTATGAAAACACCAACGCGTCAACTAGATTCAAAATGCTACAAAGAAAGCTGTTTTGTAATTTTATGATTGGTGTAAGATTTCTCGTAAAAAAGTTATTAACAGACAGAAAAAAAAAACCCACATGATTGTAAAACCAATACATTCGTCACTACTCCCAGAATCTAAAATGTGTAAAAATATAAAATAATAATCAGTAAAACGTCTTCTTGGTAAGATGTTATCGATAGTGAAATGTTTAATTATAATAAAACTACGTATCCACCTTCCTTAGTTTTATATTAGTTTGACATGATATTTTTTACACGATCTTCATAAATAACTAGTCAATTTTGAATTTCAATGTAATTTTAACACAATATTAAATTAATTATTCGTACACTATATACTTAATACGTTAATTAAGTTTTCAAGTTAACTTTTAACTTTAATTAATCAATTTGATAAAAACTTTTAACGTGTTAATAACATATTTTCAATTGGATTAATTTAACGGAGTTAATATTGTACATTAACTCGTCTAGCCTTGAATGTATTATAACAGGACAATATTGTAACGTTTTATTTAAAATTTAGGTGAATTAAAAACAAACAAATATTATTTCTTCGTACTTATAATTATGTATAAAATACTAAGAATAAAAACAACGAGTTTTTGAAATGAAGTGGTAAATTTACGAGTTTCGCAGTTTTGCTAGGTCAGTTAATAAATTGAATACAAATGTTATACGTAGATACGTATATTTGCATGGTCAGGTTGCATTTGATTATACAATATCAAACCTACTAATATTAGCATATCTACATAATATTTTGCCCTTAAATTTTTATGATATTTTCATTTTTTATGGCTTTCATAATATAACGTAATATACGACTTTTAAAAAACCGGACGCATTTCGCATGTGAAGAGTATTTCGCACAATGTGCAGTGCCTACCTTGGTGCTCAAGTCAGGTACATAATAGTTATATGTTATTGTATTAAATTTAAAAGTTTATCATTCCGTTATAAAAAAAAATTGTACGCGTGGTTACTGTTACCGATAAAAATATTCATGTTTTTCTAACTCTAAACGTGTATTCGAAAATTAAGTCAATATTCGTAATTTTATTTTGCTTATAACTACATTTTTTTTTTTATTGTTAACAAAAAATAACGAACATCAGTACATCATATTGTAAAACCAATAATAAAAACTCTTCGCTAAGAATCTAAAAATTGGGTCAAATAAAACAAATAACTGATACAGCTACTGGGAGTACTACTATCGCAGACGTAAAGTTGGGATGGACATATTATAGGATAATTTAGTTGATATATGTATACGATAAATCGTTTCTAACGAAAAAATATTGCAAACGAAATTCTGTTCAACATGTTTATGTTTTGAAATACCTCGAATTTTTCGATTTTAATGTAAATTTGAACTTAATACAAAGAAAAAAAAAACATCGTGAATGCGGAATTTTCTTATAGCCGTAAAAATAACTGTTAAACCATAAAACATGATAAAACATGATGTCAAATGTTCGAGTATTTTTGAAAAGCCAAGAGTTATTATATATACGCAAAACCAATAAAATCAAATAAAAACTTATAGATAAATATGAAAATTTCAAACGGCTACACTCTCGTGCGTGTAGGTTTTAATATGTCGATCGTCATTGCATGACCCTGAAACTTGGCCGGAGTAAAAACTGACGGTAAATCTTTCCTTGAAGGTCCTTACGCAGGACGATTCACTAAGCGTGTGCTCACCTCATTATTTTGGTTAAATTTTGCGTATATTCGAATTCTGATTTTTGGAATTTTTAAGTGTATAGTTAAAGCCGATATTTTCGAATATTCAGATTTTTCACAGCATTTAAGTGGTATCTTGCGGTGACACCGGCTTTGGTTTTTCAAATGAGAACCTGTGTACTAAAAATTCCATAAACAGACGGATTATCACTACTCTCGGTTGAGTATCATTTGTGTGGCGGCACGGCATGCGGCGTTTTACCACTGCTCCGCTATACTCTAATTGTTCGAAAATATCGGCTTCAACTACATCATTTAAAAATTCCAAAAACCAGAATTTAACCAAAAAAAAAAAAAAATTGGGTAAGCACGCTCGGTGAATCACTCAGTACATAAATAACGGGAACGTTTTTCTACGAGGAATACGAACCGGGCGGTTAAAGTCTGGTCGGGAAAGTGCCTCATTGCTTTGATGTTTACCGAGTAGTCGGGTACTCGTTACCCGGGGAGACAGTAAATTAGATTTATTTTACTTACGAAAAGACCTGAAGATTACAGGTTGTATTATACTTATATACTATAAAGGTACCCAGTTAATTCTGTAGCGGGCTTTCAAAGAAAACGATTTCTTTTGATACGTTTTAATATATCAAATTGTACCACGGTACACACACCAGCACATTATAATAATAATAATAATAATAATAATAATAATGAGTGATATTGTGGTGCGGGTGCGTGTCGAAAATCGTACTTGACCGCGAGGCGTTTCGCGTTTCGCTCAAGTCGGCCAAATAGTTTTTCAGAAGAAGACGGCGGCGCGAGAAACAGAAGTTCGCGCCTAACTTTTTAAATGTTTTTTTTTTTTTTTTTTTTTTTTCACGATACGAGCGATAAAAATTCGCCCGTTCGACG